ATAAATAAATTCATTCAGAAATCTCAGTTCCCTGAAGTGAACTTCAAAAAACAATTTGAGTCTTTGCTCCCTTTCTTCCCTCGCATCAATGATTCTGATAGCTTAATAACAATACAAATAGCTGTAATGAATTGCTGTAAACAGACTGAATCAACAACCAATCGAAAAGCTATTAAACTAATCGTCTTTATGATAAAAATGACTCTTCGCTCGTTTTAGATTTGATATAACAATCAGATATTTATATCTGTATTTTATGTTTATATGCTGCAGTAAATACACTGTTTACTTGTATTAAAGATATTTGATGTACAAACTATGTAATATTATGTAATAATATCACTCAAATATTTTATAAATAAATGAACAATCTATTCGATGTAATAAGAAAGATAACTGAAAATCATCCCATACTGAACACAACTCCATTCAATTCAGTGCGTCTGAGCACAACTAAATATAATCATCAATCAATTTCATCAATTACACAGTTGTCATCGTTATTTGATCTCCATCATCGAAAATCAGATCAGATCACATCGAATCGATTCGAAATGATCTTCATTACAAATCAATTATTTAACTAAGCCAAACTTTATATGTATCCTTCAATAAAGTCGTTTTGAACTTCCCTAAAGAACTAAATTGTTGATGAATTATTTTCGGTTATCATATAAGTCACAACCAATAAAGTCAGTTGCTCATTTATTATGAATGTCCAACGAACGCATTATCACATTTTGCTTATTATTGTAATATTCATTATTCTATTACTGTAATTTCTATTACTGGTAATATTATATTATAATTGTGCTTGCTAGATGCTCTTATACACATAATCAACAAATGATCATCCATCCATTCAAATGAATCAAATTCTCTGATTGATTGACTGCATTTGTTCATTCGCCTAAAACGGCCAACATTCGAAAAACCACCAACATAATTAATCACCAAAATTTTATACTTGGACACCACAAAGCATGCAGTCGCTTTCTTAATCATTATTTATTAAGCATTCTCTATTACGCGCCATTTCAATTCAATATTAATCTATCATTGCATATCTCTTCAACTCTCAGATCATATCTGCAAAATTCATTCAATATTTTATATATCCACATATATCTGGGATATTTCATAGATTAGTTACACTTTCTATTATTCCTTTATGTGTATTTTAGAGAATATTGCACATAATACGTACTATACATTTATATACCCCAAATATCAATCATTAGGCGTAAGTCAAACTTCTGATTAAAACATTCGGATGTATCGCAAGCGTTCACACAGTAATGAGAGTGTTATTAATTTAGATCAATTTATCAAGAATGTAATGAACTGATACCATAAGCGATGAGAATACTACTGATAATCGATACTTCATTTTCATTTACAGCAATCAAAATGATAGCTGAACAAATCTAATTTAGGGAATGTAACGACAGGAGACTCGCGAGCACTTGATCATGAGTAAAACGAAAGCATGAACAGTAAGCTGCTATTGCAAGAGCAAGCAACCCTGACCAAACTTGTAAACAGTGCTCAAGATTGTATTAATGATTCTATTGATAACGTTTGATACTTGTGAGATGTCAATAAAAATGATCATATCGATAGTAATGTTGGTTAATACTTTGAATACTTTAATACTGTTGAAATACTTTAATACTTTAATCGATAGTAATACCTTTAATAGTAACACATTGCCGATATAATACTGAAACTAATTAATACTGTTGAAACGAAACCAAAAACTCACTGAGTCCGAAGTGTGAAAGCAGCCGATGTGATTGATGACGGTAGATTGAGTCCTTTCGTAATTTCACGCCATAACTTCTTATTGATGATCTCGACTAGACCGCCGTGCTGCACAACCAAACGATACAGCTCATATAAGTCCAGCACTTGCTTGGCCATTATTGGGATTCGTGTCACTGGCTTACCTTCAAATTCATGAATTTAGCATTTAGTTGATTCATTAGAGCCATTTGTATCTCATTTATCTGATCCATTTCCCATCATTTTCATGCTGTTATAACGATGCTTTTTCTCGACTCTCGCCGAATGAGCACAGCGATTTTAGTTAAGAAATTGCGACTCTTTACCTCGATTGTTTAGCTTCACCCACACAAAAAATAACTTAGGTCAACAGATCTTCCAGTTGCTGCCTTGACCCTCAAGAGATGTTTTCGATATGATATTGAAATTGTAATAATATCAAAATTGTGAATTGTAATATATTGAAATTTTAAACAAAAGATGTTTTCGATACGAAATACATGAATATCAATGAATAACCATTGATCGTGAAAACTGCATAAGAATAATTAACAATGAGCTGTGGACTGATGAAAAAACATAAATGATACTAAACCAAAACGTGGACATACGATAACGATGATAATAGTAATCATAACTATCATAAAGAATGATAATCACAAACGCTTCTATGGATTCATAATACCATGAAAATTTCCGAAACAAGACAATTAATAAACAATCCACGAAGGAATAAATAAATCCCCACAGAATCGTCAGTAATGAAAGGAATGAATGAAATTTGATAAAGCAAATACAATGAATTAAGTAAACATTTGATGAATGCTCGTAATGTAACGATAAAATGATGACGAAGATGATTTGTTGTACTGTAAACATTATGTGTTTAACTACTTAATTGCTGTCGAGATGAGATCGATCGATGTATTTGCTGTATAATCGTCTAATTATTCACCACTTCAACAACTCAATTACTTCACTTATGAACATTCGACAAAGCAGTTTAAACATTTTGACAGATATATCATCACTAATCTGAGTATCACAAAAGCTGCCATTTTTTCATTCCTTTGACTTGCTCGAGAACTATTCACATTCGAGGCAATTCGATTCCTTCGACCTTTTGAATTGAAGAATTCTATCAGTTCACCTAAGTTTTTTAATAGGGATCCATATGAACAGACAGGGAGATTATATCCATGAGAATAGGTTAAACTGTTTGTTTATAGCACGAATATGGTAGACACTGACGTTTTTTCATTACTTCCTTAACAATTTCATAGCCAAAGTCGAGTTCATTTAGGCTGACGAGTTCATTTCATCCTAATGGCATTTCAGTTCACTTCAGGTGATGACAATAATACCAATAGTTGCAAGATAATACCAGCAATAATAATGATAATAAAATAATAAATGCTACATAATACTAACAATTTTACATCACTATTCATATACACTATTCGTAAGACATTCAACAACTTCTCATCAAATAAACATAGAAACTTCCTAATAATACTCATCACTTCATCATTAATATCATTCATAACCTAGTCTAATTTATCAATTGTACTTTCACGTTACTACCACATATAATAAAATTGCAGTGTCCAACATTTTTATTTAGCATCACTATTTTATATACCATTTTGAATGGTACTTTGTATTCGTCATGTAATCTGCATATATCCCTTCTACAAATCTCAAATATCCTCTCGAATAAACTTCTCTCCTTCCCTTTCTATGTAATAAATCCCTCGAGAAGTTAAGTCAATAAACTTATCAAATATACTGTTTAATATATGACTACATAATAATAATAAGAATAATAATACTAACAACAATAGCAATAATAATAGCGACTATGAAGTGTATATAAATAAATTATAACATCAATGTACAATATAAATAAG